CAATCCACTCACCTCAGCCTCCCAAAGGCGCGGGATTACAGGCTGAGCCACCAAGCCCGGCAGTACAAAGAATCTTACCAACCTCCTTGGACCCTTGCTAGTGCCCAGATATCTGCAGCTGTTGGTCACCTCTTGATCTTAACCTCACCTACCTACCTTAACATAAAAGGAGCCTGAAATTTGTACTAACTGGAGATGGTCTTTGAGACACCATCTCCTCAGGTTGCTGGCTCAGGTGAATAAACTTGTTTTCCTTTTGTCAACACCCTGTCTCTCATGCTTGGCCTTTGGTTGGCAAGCAGAACCTAAGTTCAGTTACATCGCTACTCTGATACATGAAAGTTCAAGGCATACTAGCTCCTGTGCAAGATAAATACTTTCATATTTTAGATAAGGTTTAATGCTTGGGTCACCTACCTGTTCCAAGAAGAAAAGAGGGAGTTCCAGGCCAACCTGGGCAAGATAGCAAGACCCCATCTCTTTAAAAAAAAAAAAAAAGACTTTTGAGGAAGCCTCTCTGATGCCCAGATATGGGAATTTCAGGAGAAAAAAGTCATTAGTTTTCTTCATGAGCCATCCAGCCCATGCTATTCCCAGGCACATTAATTTGGGAGAATCTGGTTGTCTGTAGGAGAGAGTGGACAAAATTAAGTGATACTTAAATGTTGATTCCGGGCCGGGCTTGGTGGCTCAGACTGTAATCCCAGGACTTTGGGAGGCCGAGGCGAGTGGATTGCCTGAACCCGTGGGTTCGAGACCCGCCTGGGCAGCAAGACCTCATCTCTACAATAAATCAAAAAATCGGCCGGGCGTGGTAGCGCATACCTGTAATTCCGGTTACTTGGAAGGCTGAGGCGGAAGGATCACCGGAGCCCAGCAGGTCGAGGCTGCGGTGGCCGGGAGTGGCCATTGCACTCCAGTCTGGGCGACAGAGTGAGACTCCAACTCAAAAAAAAAAAAGAATCAAATATTTTTTCATAGGTAATTTTTCTTATGAGATTTGAAGGCACTTAACTTTTTATCCCTTGTAAACGTCTTCCCTCTTGCTTTCCTGTCTGTCAAGGACAGAAATCACAAGATGTGGGAGGATATTTTTAGCATCTGTCTGAAAAGATCTGTGTCAGGACTTCCTTTGCACACCAAGAACTGGAGCTTGGAGCACCTCTTTTTTCTAAGTCAGATTCTAGTGCCTTACACTCCAGAGTGTCAAATGGGAGATGTAGATTGGAAGACAGAGAAAGTTAATTTTGCTGTGTGGGTTTCCATCTGCCCCACATAGCTTCTCCTTCCTCAGAACAATGGGCGTGGGGTAGAAAGCTCTTTCAGTGAAGGGTTTCCAGCAGCACAGTCAATACTGAGTAGTGTACTCTCTGGTCAACACTTGGGAGGTCCAAAATTGCCATTGTAATTATTGTACTGTGTAATTATTGTCCTGTGACTCATCATGTGTGTTTGTCAATGTGCACTTCAGTTCAGCCCTCCTCTGTCCCTGTGTTGAGTTAGACTATGGCCTTGAAGACATTTGAGGCACTTTAGTCAATGGGATCCTTTCACAAGCAACCGGGTGACTTTAGTGCAGAGAATGACTGAGCATTTCTGCCCCCTCCCATGAATGTGGCATTAATGTTGTGCACTGTATTTCCACCAAGCTAGATTCCATTAAGATTTTCTTTTTGAGGTGGAGATGAGAGGATTGCCTGATTCCAGGGGTTTGAGACCAGTCTAGGCAACTTGGTGAGACATCTCTACAATAAAAATCAAGATGTTAGCTGGGTATGGTGACGTGTGCCTGTAGTTTCAGTTACTTGGAAGACTGAGGTGGAAGGATCACCTGAGCCCAGTGGGTCAAGGCTGCAGTGGCATGCTGTAGGTGAGACTCCTACTCAAAAAAAAAATAAAAAGAGTTTCTTATTTATTTATTTATTTATTTATTTATTTATTTAAAAGATATGGGGTACAGTTCAGGATTAGGTATACAAATTGTCATTGTACAGGTAAAGTTTCGGCCTGACTTTGGCCCCTATTTCGCCTGGTTTCAGATCAGGTACCTTTATTGATAAAGTGTGCACCCCCCCTCCCCTGGCAGTGTCCTGCTACTGTCAATCCCTTTCTTATAGTATTATGAGACTTGTGCAGGGTAGATACTCTTTTCATGTTACTAGGTTTGTCAATAAATAGATATTTTAATTACTCTTGCTGTGATGATTTGTGAAATGTTCTTCATCTGCAGTGACTTGGTACATGTATTTGCCATCACAAAGAGTGAACAGTGTACAGAAAACCATTAGTATCTGCGTTCCCACAGAGTAAGAAAGAGTGTGGGTCTGATGGAAGAAGACACGGGTGATTATCTCATCCTCCATGTAGTACTGCCATGGCTGGGGGAAGACTCCCTCTCCAGACTGGAGTGCAGTGGCTGCTCCCGGCCACCACAGCCTCGACCTGCTGGGCTCTGGCGATCCTTCCGCCTCAGCCTTCCAAGAAGCTG